GGATGCCATCTGAGCCAGATCACACCCTTCAGCAGCCCAGAGCCTGAGAAACACAAGAGAACCATGGCTCATGCTGTGCCCACCTTGTGGGGCACACTCTGTCCTGCCAAGCCCTTCACCTGGGCTGAGCAGATGTCACACAGCCCTGAGCCCAGTCTGGTTCTTCTTCCTGTGGTAGCCAGACTGGAGGGGACACAGCTGCTACATGCCCAGGTTTCACCCCGAAGTAAAGTTAGTGTCTGTTTTTAGCAGCCAAGGACTATTAAGCTACAGAAGCAAGTCTCTTGTTTAACTACAGAGCCATCTAGGGAAGAAGATGATACAGTGTGAATGCGGTAAGGGAGAGGTGTGTGGTAAGGTGGGGGTGCCTTTGGGCACCAGCTGGTCCTGGGTCAGCGTGTTTTCCATGAGGTCTTTTGCAGGGCAGGCAGGAGACAGCCGGAGAGCCTGAACTCATAGCAGTGAGGCCAAGAAAGTCAAGGTGGCAATCACGGGGACAAAAACACAACCCTGGGACACTCTTTGTAGGGCAAAGAGGAAAGCACAGCTCGCTGCACATCACCAGCTCTGTGCTGGCCATGCCAGCCAGCTCTTGGCCAGCTTGCTGGGAGGCTGGTAAAGCTCATGCTTTGGTAGCTGGAGATAACTGCACGTTTACCACGGCAGGTGAGCAGGCTTTTTGTGGGCAGCAGCCAGCGTGCAGTGACACGTCACCGCGTGGGGTGTTGGTGGTGTCACAGCACTTTAATAAACATGCCGGGCTCCCCGGGCAGCTCTGCTCTGCAGATCCCTCACAAAACACAGGGAGGGTATGAAATGACCCTGTGCTTGTCTTCTTAACAGGGTTACTGCATATGCCAGGGGCCTCTCACAATCTGTAGAATGGAGGCAGAACACCTAGAAGGTCATGGGCAGCATTCGTAGAAAGGAAGAAGAATGCTGTGTTACAGGGGTCGTTATAATCCCCATTGCAGGCAGTGCAGCTCACGTTCAGCAGAACTTGATGGCCACCTACTGGCGACGCCCCTGTCTTTGTTTTACACTGCAGACTTTTTGGCATCAGAGAGACAAGCACTTGGACGTGTGTGAGTTGCAGAGGTGCACATTTTCACTTTTAGCTGGAAATAACGCAGCTGATCTTCCATAAATCACCTGGAATGTTCGCACTGGTTTCATTCATTTCACCCTATGAGCAGTACTGCCTGCAGGTGTTGGAGCCATTTATGGAGGCAGACAGCAGTCTCCCAACTTTTCTGATAGTGTAACAGTTTCTCCACCAGTATAGAAATTAGACTGGTTTTAGAAATAATAAACTGAAAATAAATAAATGTCAAGCTGAGAGGTGAGAATTCAGTTTTCTTCTTTGATAATTTATCTTTCAAACAAAGTATTGGCTGTCATTTAATATTTCCTGCAGTCTCACTGGGATGTTACACGTGGTGTCAGTGCTGTTGCTAAACCCCATGTTTGAGCCTTAAAGGCTGCCTGGGATCTTGACCATTAACAGGAGAACAGGCAGCTCTTCATCTGGACACCCTGGCAGCTCTTGGCTGCTGTCATGTTGCCAGGTCTTCATTCTGGACAGTCTGTGAGGGACACAGTTGAGAGATGCTGCTATGATATGGGTAGGGTTTGTTTTGTTCTGTTCTGTTTTGGTCGTACTCATTTTACATGATTTTAAAAAACATTGTAAACAAAAATAAGAAAAACTCAGTAAAAAAAAAAATAAATAGCTGTGAGCTCTCAGTGGTGTCCACTCTCAAAGTCGTTGTTCGCTGTGGTGCCATCAAACAGTAGTTTCTGGAGCCCTGTGCTGACCAGAACCTTTGGCAGAGCTCCCATGGCCTTTAAAAGGCAAAAAAAAAAAATGTGGTTTTGAGGACTTTTTCTATTGTGTGCTCTGGGAGGGTATTCTGTATAAACTAGCTTGAGAAAGAGGAGGGTGTCCGTTTAAAGAGAGTCAGCAAATCAACTGAAAGTTGCCATGAGAGGGCCTAACGTCAGGAAGCTCAGAGCAGCTCTCCTCAGCGTGCTGGGCGAGCGATGGCTGTGAAGGTCCTGGGGGGTGGTGGCAATGCCCAGCGCCCTACGGGGCTTATTCGGTTGTTTTCTTGGTGTGGAATAGGTCGGATCCGTTGCTGTTTAGAAGGAGGGAGCAATCCAGGTAAGAAGCAGCAGCACTGATCAGGTGCCACCTTTGCAGCACTGCTTTGTCCCTCCCTCTCCTGTATAAATACCTGGGAAAGCACAGAGCAGTTCCTAGCAGTGAGGTCACTTTCTTGTACATGACAAGTAGTTTTGTACAAGGTGCTGACTCTGCTCAGGGCGCGTTTTGTCTCGGGGCTGGAAATTGCAGCAGCATTATAAGCTTGATCCTCCTCCCATTTAAATGAGCTGTACTATCCAGGAGCTGAACACCCTGTTACAAAACAGGCTTTTAAGGCTGCTCATAAATCATGTGCAGAAAAAACGATGCAGAAATATTTATTTTTAAGAGAAAGATTTTCTGGGCTTGAGCACTGGATTTTGTACCTTTCATATTGAGCTTTAAGATAAGAAAAAAAAAAAAAAAAAAAAAAAAAAGAAAAAAATTATTAAAAAAAAAAAAAAAAAAAAAAAAAAAGAAATTGGAGTAGCAGGACCATTCTCGGTGAATCATCTAACCCAGGACATTCATTTGCCCTGAGATGCTTAATTGTAATTCCTAAGCCATTTCTGTGACAGCTAAACATATCTGTATTCCTGTGACCTGGTTTCAGCTGGGATAGAACTGAATTTCCTCCAGGTAGCTGGCACAATGCCATGGTTTGGATTTAGTGTGAGAACAATGTGGATAACACAGTGATGGTTTAGTTGTTGCTAAGTAGCACTTGTCCTAAGTAAAGGATTTTTCCATTTCCCAAGCTCTGCCAGGGAGCAGGTGCACAAGAAGCTGGGAGGGAGCATGGCCAGGACAGCTGACGTAGTTAGCCAAAGGGATTTTCCATACCATATGATGTCATGCTCAGTATAGAAACGGGGGGAGTTGGCCGGAGGGGGTGGATCGCTGCTCGCGCATCAGTCAGCGAGTGGTGAGTGACTACACTGTGCTTCACTTGTTTTCCTTGGTTTTCACTTCTCTTTTCATTATCTTCCTTCTCTTGACTATCATTACTATTGCTGTTGGTTTTATTGTGCTTATTATTTATTTCCCTTATTTTAATTTATAAAGCTGTTCTTATCTTACCCCACAAGTTTTACTTTTTTTTTCCCAATTCTCCTCCCCAGCCTACTGGGAGGGGGAAGGAGTAAATGAGCAGCTGTCACATAGTTAAAGTGCTGATGTGGCTTACACTCTTGGGGACTACTTTTTTCTAGTTAATGTTGATATTACAGCCCTCTGTCAGTTTTTTTCTCCATTTCAGGAATTCTCCACACACCCCTTTACATATTATAGGCAAAAATAATGTGGGAAATATCTTTGCCTGAAGGTGAAATATGAATTTGTGTCAAGTGTTAAGAGAAAAAAAGGGCTGTTGAAAAGATAGTACTCCATTTTTTATAAGATGTGTGAGATGCTTTATGTAAAGTTTTGACCCAATATAAATAGTCCTCAGCAAATTCTGAAAATCTCTAAAAGTGAAACTTATACCAGAACAGCTATAGCTGTAGCAGTAGTGACTGTTTCAACAGAAGGTTGCAGATGGGTGTCGACACAGGAGCTTTTCAGCAGGTTCACCAGCATCAGTGCTCCTTTCAAATGCCTTTCTTAGCATCTTACTTCCTCCCAAGCTTTGTACTTCTTTCTATTTGTAATCAGATTCAGTTTCTTTTCCTCTGATTCATTTTCATTTGAACAGTCACAAATTCTTTCAGGAGAACTGGGAATGAAGAGTTTAAAAGAGCTGGCTGACAAATTGCTAGATCATTTTTACCTTGAAAGTCACTAAACCCAGGCATGTGGGGAAAGCCCCTGAAACTTGATGAAGGCCGATGTTGTTCCAGTCCTTAAAACAGCTAAACAGGCTGGTATAGCTGTAGGTGGACGTGACTGCTGTGCTGTATAACTGTAACGGGGTTGATAAGGTGATCAGTTAATAATGATTTATAACAGAATCATATAATTAATGGCAATCAGTGGGGGTTTGGGTCCTGGCATACCAGCTTGATAAGAGCTTTTGACTCAAGTTTATCTAACGAAGGCAAGTGCATTGTTGTAGCAGGCTTTCTTTAAGTATTAGACTCGATACACACTGTAATTAGAAAGTTAAGCAACATGAATTCAACATTATATTTTTAATCGCTTAAAATCGGGATAACTGATAGGCCTTAGGACGTTGCTGTAAATGGAGTACCCTCAATAAGCATTTGCATATCTGTAGGGATTGTTCACTGGCCCTGTGCTAATAAACACCTTATTTATCAGCAGTCTGAAAGGAAATAAAATTCATTGACTTGCAGGTGATATAGAAAATTGTTAAATAAGGAAATGGAAAAATTGTTGCTGCAGAGTGATATGGATCTGTTAGCAATCTGTATGCAGACAGAAGTGTTCAGCCAAGTGTGAGGATCCGTATTCCAGATCTAGGTACTGGAAACACTTTTTCATTAAGAGTTTCAGGATTTTTATCTATTTGAAGTTGTCAAAGAGAAATTATGAAAGCTATATATAAAGTTCTTTAGAAGGTAAGGTTCAGTGAGCTTGGATCTAGACACTAGTGAAATAGAAATAAAGCTCAGATGAAGTCAGGCTACTTCATTCTTCGGAGCAGTACTTCAAGGATCATGATGTTTTCTCTGGCAACAAGTACTTCTAAATCAAGACTTTAATTATTTCATACTTTAAAAATTTGCTCTAGTTCAAGCACAATTTGTTTCAACTCTGCGCTGTGGACTACACAGAAAATAATTAATTAATTAAGGTCACTTCTGGCACAGTGATACGTTACAGCTGATCTTTTGGGGCCTGCGATATACAGCGTGCTTATGCTTAATTTTTTTGCTTCTGTTCTGTTTTTCAGTTCCATTTCACCCTTCAGTATTGAGAGCACAAGGCGTCAGAGAAGGTCTGAGTCTCCAGACTCCAGGAAGCGGCGTATCCATCGGTGTGACTTTGAGGGATGCAACAAAGTATACACAAAAAGCTCCCACCTGAAGGCTCACCGGAGGACACACACAGGTAAGGCTTCGCTGGCACTGCGAACCACGGTTAGGACAAGCAGGTTCCTTTCTGCCTGATTCAGGGTGTACTGAACTCGTGATCCTACACTAAGAGCCAAAGGCCTGTACCTAAATCAAAGAGATGTCTGCGAGTACATCAGCATTGGCATTCTGGTGCAGGTCAAGAGCATGCTTTTGAATTGAGCTTCCCTGTCATCCCCACTTCGCAGCACAAACCAGACTCCTTTCAGATGAAACTAAGAAAAATGTCCTGCAGGGACACACCTTCAGTGAACAATTGGTGGTCACTGCTTGGAACCAACCAGAGCTAGTCCAAAGAAAACCCTCAAGAAGAGTGTATAGTGTGGACATGGATCTTCAGCACTATTTTTTTCACTCTACAGACCTGCTCCTATTGAACTACTCCTTGCTTTTACAATTGTAGCTTGGAATGCTAGTTGTCACTAAATACCTTCAGTTCAATTCAAGTGGAAACTCAAGACCTCAGTGTTTCTTTCTGAAGAAAAAGGCACCTACCACACACTGCAGAGGGAAATCGGTCACTTTATGAGAATAAGTTGCACTGTGTCTCTCTAACAGAGACATGAGAGAGGTGCCTAGATGAGCTGGGTCCCATTCAGTGATGATAATACCTAACACTTAATCAATACCTGGTGTCCTTATTAACTTTATGGGCTGTTACTGGTATACATGTCAGGCATGTAAAGGTAGCTGAAGCAATGATACGTACTTGTCATTTTATTGTGGATAAACTCAGGAGCAGCAATTTGAAGTTATTAAGAACAATTTAAAAGGGGATCACTTGGGTGGCTAGAAAGGCACTGGACAGAATGCTCTGAGTTTCAGTGCTGTTCCTTGCTCGGCTGCTGATTTATTTAAATTAAATTTATTGATCTCTCTGCTCGTAATGTACTTCAGTGTTCTTGCAACTCCTTGGAGAAAAGATGGTCTTTATCCAGCATGTAGCACAATGTTGTTCTTTGCTGAGAATCTGCTGGCACTTTCTGTGGTGTGATGTACTCTAAAGAGTATGAGATATTATTTTTAAAAGCTTAAGTGGTGGCTTCTCCTATTCTCTTTCCAATATGTCTTTTGGTTGGTAGGACATTTGTTGAGAGGAATACTGAACAAGGCTCCGTCCTAATACCCCCTACTAAACCAATTTCGGTAAGGTAAGAGTCCCTTCCTTAAACAGCAGAAGTGTTCTGGTCATCTGGGAATTTTGTTACATTTCCCTGCAGGCAGATTATTCTAGTTTCTTCATATCTTCCCATTAATGCTTGTGCCTTCTTCTCTTTCCTTATTTATCATGTCTTGTCTTAATTCCTTTTTTCTTCTTCCCTCTTCTTCCCTGTTTTCAGTGTGGTCTTTGATCCCTACCCTTCCAGTATGTTTAATATGCCTTTACCTTTTCATCTGGTCCTCTGTTACTCGTTTTATTTCTTTTATCCCAGTCTAACCCCACTCTGTCCCTTTCCTTCGCCCTGCCCTGATTTTTTAGTTGTTGCCCTATTCTTGCATATATAACCCTTTGAACATTATATGGCTCTATCAGATTAGAAGCCAGAGAGCTCAGCAGAGGCATGAAAACAGTAGAATGTTTGGGTTGGACCAAAAATACCACTTACGTGCTTATTCCACAGGGAGGTCCCTCTTTCCTAGCTTGCAAGACTGGCGACCAGCCCAAGTGTATAACCAAGCGTCATGTAAAGAGATGAGTTACAAATCTAGATGTCAGCAACTTCAGAAATGTCACACCCAAGCTAGCCCAGAAATACAGAATGCTATTCTCTGCCATGATGTTTTAAAACACTGAGAATCACATTTGTCAGGAGCCTGTAACTCATAAGTGATCTCATGGGAGACCAGCACTTGAGGGTAACCCAGATCAGTGTTAGGCAGTCTGCACTGCTGAATCTCAAGGCTGTGCACTTCGGGTGCTCAGAAGTAGGCACTGAACGCTTGAGATGGTGTTGGTGATTACAGCCTTTGCAGCTGTAACTCCCCAACAGCACGAAGGGAGTTTCTGTATGTGCCCTAATCACAGGATCCATCTCCCCAGCCTTGATTCCCTGGCAGCTGTGTGTCTAGGCTGTGCTATCTGTCTGGGATCTCTGGGTAGTCAGAGAAGAGGGATTGGCACCTCTGGGGCACGTTATTCCCTCTTCAGGTAGACCCAGAGACTGGCTTGTGAAGGTGCTTCTCTTTCACTGCTGAATGCAGAGGAGGGACAGATACCTACCAGGCTCTTACCTGGCTGAAGTGAATCCACACTCCAACAGGCAGCTGCCTGAAACATTTTGCAGTCATGTTGGATGTTGGTTCATTCCTTCAGGGAGAAAAGAAAAATAACATCAAATCAGAAACCTCCATTAAAAGACAGCTGTTAACAGCTTTGTGTTGTCATGTCTTCATGCCTGCTGCAATGTAAGAAGTGTATTCTAGAGAGAAGGTGAGCACTGGATCTAGCCAAAGGATCCAGTGACAAAATCTGCGTGGTGCTGTTAGTATTAAATGGGTTTTGCAGAACACTTCTCAGGTCTTGCTAAGAAGTTGGTATATTCAGTCTTATATATTTGCCATGAGTGTATTCTATGTATTAATATCATCTTACATTTTCTTATCTTGCCCTTTACTCTTGCTTCAGGCAAAAGAAGCTAATTATTCATGTATGACCCACAGTAATTAGTGCAGTTTTGGAGAAGTATAAATGAAGTATGACAGCTATGCACGCAAGGGTGAGCAAGTTTCAGTAGGAAACTTTCTGAGAAAAGATCACAGAAACTCAGCATTGCATAATCTGGACTTTTTTTTTTTTTTTTTTTTTTTTTTTAAGGCAGGCTGATCTTCCTGACAGTTGTTTACCTAAGCAGGATGTGTTTGAGAACTTTTTCATTTTTTTCATTTACTATATGTGCATTAGCCACTAAAACATTCACAGTTGTTCAGAGACAGGAGGAAAACCAATGCAGTATTTTGACAGGATGAATGGCTTTGTTGGTTGGAAAGTAGACATCTTTTAATTACAAACAGAAACAAAACCTTATAGGTGGTAACGGTTGTAGGTATTTCTCTTTGAGTAACTCCTATTTTTTTTTAGGTATGCTGTCTTCTGGCTCCCCTTGTACTTCTTAGCATTGTCCTTAAAACTTAGTGTACTGATGTGGGCATGGAGTCCACTGGGGGGCGCGCTTGAATTAAGTATCATCTACTCCAGCTAGAAAAACTACAAGTGAAACCTGAAATAGAGTGTTTCACAAATCACAAGCACCGATATTAAATTTCTCTTTCTGGTATCAGCTCCTTGTTATCGATTTGCCAAATGGTCAGATAAAGCTATCGGGAGGTATCGGGTGTGCTGGAGAGCCTTCGGGGCTCACAGGCAATCTCACAGCTCAGGTTTAGCAGCTCTCTCTGCAAGGAGAAACTGTGAGAAATTGGCTCACTGGAGTTGGGCTGAGTTAGTTTCTGCTTCAGTGAACTTAAAGAAAATCACTAATGTGTGACCCTCCAAATGAGTAATGTTGAGAAATGGGAAGCCCATCATCATCCCTGGGTTGCATTCCCAGACTGTGTGTGCGCGGCATAGGTGCTGGTGCTAGCCCCAGGAGCTGGGAGAGCTGCAACTGCTGTTCCTCTTGAGGTCTGAGCCCACGCAGCCCTAGTAGGACTCACCTGCTTCACTCTGCTGCTTTTACTTTGAAGATGGAGAGGGAAACAACCTTGGCATTATTCTGTGACCTTTAATGCCTATTTCAGGCCTTTTAGGGGGTACTGAAGTTGCCATTGACGCTTCCAGCAGAACAGCTCAGCGTTGCAGACTAAATAATAATGGTTCCTTCCACGGTGGTGTTTTTTCCCCCATCAAAATTTCGTTCTAAAAATATTTAAATTTATCTTAATGAATTGCTGTTTCCTTTTTTACTAACCCTGGTTTTGTGAAAGATGTACAGACTCTGTTCCCTCTGAAGACAGTTGATGAAAGTCTGGTATGTTTGATGTAAATCAAAGAGTTAAATCATGCCTTCTGTTGAGAGGCTGATATGGGTTATAAAAACAAGACTTTTAATAACTGATCTGTGAAGTCTGTGAAACTGGAAATCATGGGTCTGTGAAAACTGTAAAATACATTAAAATCATTATTTTGGCAAAAAGCAGGCAGATCTTTTCACACCATAAAATTGAGGACATACATCTTGGCCTCCTCTCTAGCTGGCTGGACATTTCTGAAGTGTCAATGCACAGCTGCAGAGTTGCCAAAAATGTTTGCAATTTCCCTGCAAATTTTCAGTTGATTTGTCATTATTTTTCAGTCATCTGTAACTATAATGAAAATAGGTTCATAAGCTAGGTGCGATGAAGGCAGCAGGACAAAGCCTTACAATCACGCCATTTATTAGGTCAAATGCAAGGCAGTAAAGTCTCTGGTGAAATGATACATTTCATTATAGCCTCAACCAGTGCAATAGTTGTGGATAAGTGTGTCTATGGAAAGATGAGAGGACAGGGGAGTACATTTTAAGGGAGAGAAAAGAGGGAAAACAAGACACCCAGGACCCTTGGGCTAGTTGCTGTAACAGTGCAAAGGAGACATTAGAAACTGAAAACATTTTATGGATAGATGACAGTGACCATATGAAAAACACACAAACCCTCTTTTGTTCATTCTGATTTCAGTTGCCTTGTTAATGCATTAGAGAGCGAAAAACATGGTTATCAAAAGATGGCAAGTTCTGTCTGCCAACAGAGACACTGCAGGGCAGTGGCTGCTGCCTGTGGGTGATGTCATGGACAGGACTGTCCCACTGGCTGCCTACGTGGCTAAAAAGCTGCTTTTGCTTTTCATCCATAGGCTCCTTAGTCTGCAAATCCTAACATGCAATGTTCTGCTTTATCCTGAATCACGTTTGCATATCTTGATCTGGTTTTCATAGACATCATCTGTCTCCTCTTAAATAGGGAAAGCATGTAAATTTGAGGCATATTATGTAAATTGAA